GAATTTCTAGAGGCGTTTCCTAAAGGTTACACCCCAAATTGGTCGAATGAAGTATTTAAAATTATAAAAATTCGTGCAACCAACCCGACAACATATCACTTGCAAGACATGTCGAAGAATCCAATTCAAGGTGCATTTCATGAATAAGAATTACAGAAAGTGAAGTATACCGATGTATATTTGATTGAAAAAGTATTGAGAACGAAAGGAAATAAAATGTATGTTATGTGGCTCGGCATTGATAAATCGCACAATTCATGGATCATGAAAGGTAACGTTGTGTAACTCGCAATGTCTTACCTTTCACTGCTGCTACTTTTCACTGCTGCTACCTTTCACCACCAGAAACCTTCAGGTGTACTATAAATAAGATCTACGTTTAATCCAAGTATGTTAGTTGAAACAATGTGTTTCGATAGTGATTATGTCAGTTCGGAAACTACCAGCGATTATTGGAGTGGAGTAGAAAGAATAAATCGAATGATCAAACAAAGAATAATCAATGATGGACCATATATTTTGGAATCTTCATTCAAAATTGAAGATCCACCACTGGAAATAGGTTGCGGTATGAGTGTTGCTAGATGTTCCGAATCGGCAATCAGGTTGAAAAAAAATAATGATACCATATCATTCAACACTAGTGAATTGGCGAATGTTATGTTCATTTTCCGTAAACTGCTGATCGAATTCATGGAGATGGACAGTGATCCAGCTGAAGTACAAGACTTAGACAGTGATGAACAAGTGAAGATAACACCAACAACTTTCATGGATATAAAAATTTTGAAAGTGCAGAGTGCTACCAATGCTAAAATATATTTGAGAGAAGAATCTGTCCGGAATATCATATATTTTGACAACATAATCATTCAACATAAAATAGATAATGCTGAAAAAATCATTCCATAGTTTTTATCATAATAATCTGGAACTAGCTAAAAAACTTTTGGTGCAATCCAATAATAAATTGAATGAAGAATCTATTATCATTGCAATTTGTGATATTTTGAGTAGAAGTGTGGAAGGATATGCATTCAGAGAATGTTTGTTATATTATAAAAATGATGTTATGAATACAATGAATAAAAAATAATAAAAAAACAATGTGTTCTAGAGATATTTATTTCGAAAATTTAGATTTTACATTCAAATTCAGTACAGGAATTTGAGTACAAATTTGGTGTCACATACAACATTTTGCCAGACTGAATTGTTACATAAATTTGAATGGATTCCATAGCGATATCTCGACCAACCTCAAGAATACTTTTATCTCATAGAATTAGAAATACACAATTGGTTTACATAAAAAACATTTCATCATACAAGATATATCTAAATTTGAATGGATTCCATAGCGAAATCTCAACCAACCTTAAGAATACTGTAATGACCATAAGGTGAAGTATCTGTGGAATCATCAATTAAATACCTCTTGTCATCGAATGTACTCAAAACTATTTTCGTTTGTTCAATAGAATAAACTTCATGTGGATGTGATTGGATGTTTCTTTGCTTCTCATATTTCTCCTTATTATTTTTCAAACAGTCCAAATAATCGTCAAATGTTATTTTTTTCTTGACTACATAAAATTTTACACCTTTTGACTTTTCAATACACTTTTTTCCACCCTCAGTGTTTGGTTTATTACTATTGACTAGAAAAGTATATTGTTGTGAACGTAGACCAACAAAGTCAGTTATATTTTCCCCCAGCATTTCATCTTCCATCAAACCGGACACTTTTTTATTCACTAACAGTATACTTTATTTATCATCTATAGGGTAATCACTTGTATCAAATTTGGTCAAATCTTTTTTGATTACTTCTTTATATACATCATCACAATGTAATTCATATATGAGACTGTCTGTATCTGTATAAAGCAACTTACAATCTGGTAATTTGAATTTTTTCAACATGTAATCGTAATGAAAACTGTAAACACAAGTTTTGGATATATCTAAGATAGCCATACAAGGGTTTATTGAATATTATATTGGTTTTTTTCATTTCAATTGCCATCAGCATTTCATCAAATATAGTTCGGTTATGAAAACTAGGACTGGAAATTAGATGTTTTCCACCATATCGACCATCCCAACTTTTCGCCAATTCAATTATCCTATGTTTCCGCAGATTTTCCATAGTCTTACCATAAACGGCATTCATCATCGTTTTGAAAGTAACCTCACCAAACTCATTTTTTGAATTTCTACGCAAATCTGTATTCAGATCAATATATGGTTTTGACCACTTTGATTGCCTGAACCTCAAAATTCTGTGAATTTTATCGACTACTAATCCGTTGGCCAAATATTGTTTCAAACTTTTATAGTGTGAAATATATCTTTATTTATCATATAATGTAGTCATCAGCTTTGATAATTTTGAATTAGGAGGAATTAGTTTTTCAGGTGCAAGATATAAATCTCTATGGAGATCATGGATACATTCAGGGTAATTGAGATCGACTTCCAGAATATAACCAAATTGGCATTCATCTGAAATTTCATCGACATTGAAATTTTCAAGATTTTCCAACCATTCAAAATCCGAATTGGGAAGGTCTTGGCAAATGGCCCATCCATATAAATTATTAACATCAAAGTACATCATGTACTTTGACGGTTCATTGTTTTTGAAATTTGACATATATTTAATATTAGCAATGGAATGTCTATTTGAACACTGACTGACGCCACCTCTTATTCCCTTCTCTATGAGTACATCAACATCTTGAATAGTATCCAGCCTACATCCAGTATATCTCAACATGCAATCCCAAGTATAACCTGGTGAAGTATAGTAATGTGCAGGGTCCAATCCGTATATTTTTCTGAAATTTTCAAATACATCGACTAACAACATGATATCTGTCTTCAAATAAAGATCAGAATAATCCCCTAATGATTCAATTTGAAATGTATCCCAAACCTTTTTTGCATGATCGTAATCCTCATCTGTAATATGCTCATCAATTAATTTACTATAGAAGTTATCTTTACTCGGTAATTTTGTTGCTACAAGTTTATCGATGTTATCCAAATAATCATAGCAAAATACACCTTTCTTACACAATAAATCAAATTTATTTTCATCAAGATCAGAAAATTAATTTCTCATATTGACAAATTCTGATTCATCTAAAAACAATACCAGATCTTCCAATTTGAATGACATGAATCTATAGGAATCAACATATCTGAATTTTACTTTAGATCCAGCAATATGTTGGGTGAAACTTATATATTTTTTTATGTTTATAGGGAGTAGGGCAATATATGAATGTTTCGCTGAATCCTTGATGATGAAGTGGCTGTCGTAGCCACTCGAATTATGAAAAAAAAACTGGAACAAAATAAGAATTTCGGTAATTTATGTTACAACTGGAATGACATAATCCACGAAATTCACCTGTGAAATGGTTATGATATTGAGCTATGGTATCAGATTGCTTGAAAGGTTTTTCACAAATATGACACACTTCATTATTTTGAACTTCTTGTTCATCAATTAACTTTGCAAGATCAACTAATTTGTTCACGAACCAATCAATGCAATTCACACCTCTGAAACTCTTGAACTTCGATAAATTTTGATTATAATTACATTTTAAATAATAACCAACACTGAAAGTTTCATGTTTTTGATAACGTGAAGTTTTAATCATTTTCCTACCCTCTTGTTCTTCAAATGGAAGAGGCAATGACTCAAAGTCGCAATAAACAACGAGAGGTGTTTTTTCTTTATATCGGAAATTTTTAAATGATATGTATTTTTCATCGAAAAATGATATTTTACACTTATTAACTTCTACACAAACAACATCATGAGAATCTTATTTTCCTCGTGTACTGAAATAGTTCAAACATCTATCACACAGAAATTGTTTTTTATGTCCTAGCTGATTGGAAACTGATCTTGATAAATCTTTCATCCAACAGAAGTGGTACTGATTTGAATCTTCATACAGTTCATCATCAGAAAATGAAATATCCTCCACCTCCTCCTCATAACTCACAGAATAATCTTCTTGGAACATTAGTGGATTCACATGACGATCTGGTATCTTATTTCTAGTTATTCTTATAGGTACAGTGATGAATTTTCCATTGTTTTTTTCCAGAGTGAACACGTTTATAGAAACATTATTAAGACTTTAAAATTTGGTAATTTGATGGATTTTCATGGGAAACTCGATACCTGTCAAGTCAAAAATATTGCTATAATGTGGATATGAAGAAGTTCTGGATGCATTTAATTTTGCTGGGTATAAGCATGATAGTACAGACCATGCGGAACAAGCATCATCATCATTTTTGACATTAAGACATGCAGTTTTATTGATTATTTGATCAGGTAATTTGATGAAAGATGGACCTCCATTACCCATCTCAACTTTATTGATGTTAACTTCCAGACTGACTATTTTATATAATGTCCAACCGCTATCACGTTCTTGGAATTCATCGAGTTTATTCAAGAGAACATCGATAACATTATCATGATACCATTGTGTCAAATCCACACCCCTATCAATGATAACATATTTTGTATTCAAATATTTGAATTCAATCATGATTTCATCATGTTTATTGTTTTTCAAAAATTCCCCACAAAAACAGGTATTTACTTTCATAATAACAAATTTCTTCAACAAAAGCTTCATTCTGCTTCGGAATAATATGAATGAGTCTTCCAAAAAGTCTCTGACAGCAATATGTTCTAAATTTATAATTATACCAGAACGTATACGACTCGAAAAAGCAGATTTAATATCTTCCCACTTGATTTTTTTCTTGACAGAAGCAACATTTTATTTTTCCTCAAGTAAATCCACGAATCGTCTCAAATGTCCAATATTTGTATGCAATTTCCTAAGTGAACTTATATGCAGATTACCTTCACGAATAGCTTTATTGAATATCTTGAGGGGTTTGCATTGCTTAATTTTTTCCATCGATTCTTATTTTCCAAATTTGACCTACCAGATGTGAGTGTTCTATATGCTTTCCGAATCATTTTGACGATTTCATCACTCTTCTTTGATATATCTTCATCCATCCTACTTTACCTCATTGTTAGAAATCAACGTTTACTCTTCTTAGGAGGTTCAAGTGAGAACCCACTTGAACCTGTTTGTTCTTTGTTTTTTTCATTAGGATTCCAATGATCACTACTTTCTAAAGTTTCAGAACAATATAAGTTCAAATTATCGTCTGGTTTATTATATGCTTTTGAATGTTATTCAACGTTGTTAAAACATTATGTATATTAACTGATCGATCACAAAAACATTTGGGACAAAACTTAGTATCCATGAGTTGAAAAATAATTTTTGGATAGGTTGAGCCGTATCAACAGGAAGATCAGATAACTTGACTGTTTCCTTGGCACTCAATGAAGCAGAGTTGTTTATGTCTGTAAGATCCATCTAGAATTAGAACACAATATTGTTGTTTCTCAAAATCAAAAATTATGTTTTTTTCAAAAACAACAGTTTCACGTCGGAATAACTCACCAACCTCAAGGTGGTGAGAGGTACAAGATTTCGATATGGAATGATTTTTCTGCTTAGACTGCTATTTCTTCATACTGCTAGCTGTTCCGTTCTCCAATTTGTTGGCATTGTACATTCACCATACTTTCTAAATATTCTCTACAATAATTGCCTTGAACGTTCATCATACACTCCTTCCCGAATGAAGAATTTTTTTCTTTATTATAGTTATTCCAATTCTGAAACAAACAGAAATCGAAATTTTTCAATCTGTTATAATCAGATCGAATGCATACCATGGTATCAAAGATAATCTCGAACTTTTGCCTCCTATTCACTACATGGCCCTTGAGGCCCTTCAAAAGTTGATTTTAGTAAAATTCAAGCAGCGACCTTTCATTTGATATACAACAACCTATAGTTGGCATAATATTCACTATATGGCCCTTGATGCCCTTCAGAAGTTGATTTTCGTAAATTCCAAGCAGAGACGTTTCATTTGATATACAACAACCTATAGTTGGCATAATATTCACTATATGGCCCTTGATGCCCTTCAAAAATTGATTTTCGTAAATTTCAAGTAGAGACCTTTCATTTGATATACAACAACCTATAGTTGGCATAATATTCACTATATGGTCCTTGAAGTCCTTCAAAAAGTGATTTTCGTGAATTTCGAGCAGAGACCTTTCATTTGATATACAACAACCTATAGTTGGCATAATATTCACTATATGGCCCTTGACGACCATCCAAAAATTAATTTTCGTGAAATTCAAGCAGAGACCTTTCATTTGATATACAACAACCTATAGTTGGCATGATATTCACTATATGGCCCTTGAGGCCCTTCAAAAATTGATTTTTGTAAAATTCAAGCAGAGACCTTTCATTTGATATACAACAACCTATAGTTGGCATAATATTCACTATATGGCCCTTGAGGCCCTTCAAAAGTTGATTTTCGTAAATTTCAAGCAGAGACCTTTCGTTTGATATACAACTACCTATAGTTGGCATAATATTCACTATATGGCCCTTGAGGCCCTTCAAAAATTGATTTTCGTAAAATTCGAGCAGAGACCTTTCATTTGATAGGACCTGAAATGTCCTACTTTCAGTTAATACAATTATCAAATAATTCTCTTGGTTTGATTCACTGATCCCTCCCTTAGGTTATATCCAAAATGTACAGTACCCTGAGTACTGCGTTCAATATAGCGG